CTCCTGCACCGTGCTAGTATTGTCTTATACCTTTTCAGTGCTCGCTGTCCCGTGCCTCGTATTCAACAAAATGCTGTCACCAGGACCCACAGTCTTGTCTCTGATATGGTTTCCTCCATTGAGTGAAGGAAATTGCGGTCAATAACGCTGTAGAAACAAAAGGGAATCTTCATTAAAGGGCAAGCTGAATTGTTGTCAAGTTACCGGGTGGTAGCACTGGTACCTAGGTACAGACAGACACTTAAGTCAGCAAAAAGTGGGGGGGCCAGTTAACATTGCTGGCCCCCCCACCTCCGAAAGTGGGGGGGCCATGGCCCCCCCCGGCCCCCCCTGTTCCTACGCCTATGTTTATTCCGCAACGGTACTGATAACGATAATTCTGGAAGGGGCTTTCTGTTGGTTAACACTTACCTGCTCAGTGTTGACGCAGTGTTGAGGTCGACCCGTCCGAAAGGACATGCCGACCAGCCCCCACGGTAACATTGTACACTGCTCAGTACCGAGCTGCTGTGTCATGTCGCTCTCGCTGAATGGAATATTCAACGCGCTCCAAAGAACTGAATCTCCTACAAAGGACGAGACTGCTATCTGTGCCGCTGTAGCTGACTGGTACCATCCGTCCTCCCAGAGGAGTGAGACTGCACTGTGCTCCATTTGCCGCTCTTTCTGACCGTAATTACCCGCTATCTTTTCAGAGGGGTGAGACTGCGCTCCACCTGGCCGCCGAGACCGGCAACGAGGAGCTGTGTCGACTGCTGCTGGACCACGGCGCATCCCTGGTAACCAAGGAACAGGTGAGACCGTGACACACGGTAACATTGTAACATTGTGACCGGTAACGAGGAGCTGTGTCGACTGCTTACCACGGCGCCTCCCTGGTAACCAAGGAACAGGTGAGACCGTGACACTCTGACAAATGAGTCAACGCCAGTGGAAATATGTACAGCAGAGACAGCAGAGCCTTCATTTCGTGCTGCCGAGTTGAGAAAAAAAATGAGAAAAACATGTGATATAACTCTTTGAGACTGCCCTGTCGACAGGCGGCTCTATGATTTCAAAGTGGCCTGTTTTACGAAACCAGCTCAACATTTCAAATGTTGAACAAAATTACAAGGCGTCGAATTCCTCGTAATCCTGGCATTAAATTTAAACCGGCTTCGCCTTATGCATGGCCGAGCGCTGCTCAGTTCCGCCGGGCGCGGCCGGTCGGTGAATTATTCCCACCACGCGACGGCCGGGCAGATGCAGCTCTGTCCGACTGCTCGCTGATCTATGGGGGCTTCCGGCGCCGGCTGCCCGGGCCGGGCCGGCCGGTAATAGAGCATGTGCCACAGCAGCAGCCCTTCCGCTCCTGTTGGCCGACAGCCGCGTGACGTAATCCAGACGACGGCGGTCTTACAGACCACGGCTGAGCTGTTACATGACTCAGAGATCAGACGGCGACCCTGCAGACCACCTCTTATGTTACATGACTGGGAGTTCAGATCGCGACCGTACAGACCGCAACTGGTGTGAAGGCGTGACCTGATGCAGACGGGACCGCAGGCGCGGATACAAGGGGGGGGGGCATGGGGGCCATGGCCCCCCCCCCCTTGGCCGATTTTTTTTCAAAAATAAAATAAAAAGTTAAAAAGCTGAAAAGGGGGCCTCCTGAAAATAAAGTGGCTAGTCATGTTTAGATGTTGCCTGAACAGCTAGATAAGCTCAATAGACGCAGTTTTTTTTTTGGGGGGGGGCCAACAAGTGGGAAGATGGGGCCTCCAACAGGTGGGATTATGGGGGCCTCCTGGTTTCTAATGGCCCCTCCCTTGGAGATTTTCTGGATCCGCCCCTGCGGGACCGTATAGACAGCGACCGGCGAATCATGATACCTACCACGACCAATGTGGCGTAATAATTGATCCTCAACACGGTTCGCGCACTATGCAATATGTATGCAGGTGACGACGCTAAGAGACGAGGCACGTTAACAGCAACCATCTACAAAATCATCGACCGACCCAAATCGCTATCTTGGGGGGGGGGGGGTCGTCATTCCCATAAAAGTCTCTGCGAAATGCCCACGTTTTATTTACTTTATCAGTGGATATGTTAGCCCATTACCATAATGGAGCCGTGACCTATTGTTATCCTTCATCACGTATGTTCATTCCAGGGAGGGCGGACTGCCCTGCATGTGGCGGCCCGGGGCGGTTTCGACACCCTCGTGGACATCATGATCTGCCATACGCGCTCGAAAAGAGGCCACAAGGATATCGTAAGTCTCTGATGCATATGTCTGGATCGATAAGAGTCGATATCAGGGAAATGAAAATAGGTCGAGACGAAGAGTAACGCGTTTCTTAGCCGACAGTAATGCGTTAACGCTCAATCTCAATAATGTGCTCGACCTTTCAGTGAAGGTCGGGATACCACAGAGCGCGTCGTTCCCTATCAGTCCAATTGCCGTCAGACCCCCTCGATTCCCCGACCATCACCGCGCGCCTGTGTCGCAGTCTTCGACCACCTTCCTGGAGGAGGAGACGCACCTGAAGCTGCTGATGCTGCCGCCCATCATCCGCGTCACCTGGCTCAACAACAACCAGTCGGAGCGGGTGGAGGAGCTGATCCGCGCCGTGGCCAACCGCTACCTACCGCGCGGCAAGTGGAAGGTGCTGGCGCGCCACTGGCACTTCTCAGAGGACCAGATCGAGGCCATCGAACACCAGTTCGTCGGTGGGTGGGTGGAGCTGAGAGTTATCCACGCGGATCACGAACAGAGCTCTACTGGGAGTGAGATGGCTGCTGAGAAATATCGCTAGCGTTGTAGCTTCATTGCTCACAATACGTTGTGAAAGTATCTCGTTTTCAGATGATAATTTTATCGCATTGATCTGACGTCTTTTGTCGTTGTCATGATAATTATGCTTTTTTAGACAAGTTGGCAATGCTATGAGCTGAATGAGCCGGTCACAATCTATGTGGTGTCGAACGATATGCTATGTAACGTCAGTGCAGGTGGGCTCGCCTACCGTCTGCCGATTTGTTGATACGTCTGACGACACCCCTTCTCTACCGCCCAGGACCGGAGAGCTACAAGAGCCACGGCTACCGCGTACTGCGGCTGTGGTACCGGTCGCTGGGCCATGAGACGGACCCGATCCACGTGCTGCAGGACAGCCTGGCCAGCGTGGGCGCCGACCCGGGCATCGGTGGGTCGGACCGGCGCGACGGGATGTCTGTCTGTCTGTCTGTGTCTGCATGTCTGTCTGTCTGTCTGTCTGTCTGTCTGTCTGTCCGTCTGTGTCGGCCCGGCGGGCTGTCTGTCTGCCTGTCAGCCCCCCCTCTCTCTCTCTCTCTCTCTCTCTCTCTCTCCGCTCCCACACTCCTCGGACACCTTGACTCTCCACCGGGTAGTTTCACGACATCTCGACTCTGCTGAATACGGTTAGCCGCGTTTCTCTCGTCGTGCTGAGTGCTCAGAATATCATACACTGCACGCCAGTACCGGTATGAGCAGCGGCTGACTATCGAGCGCTTCACTCGGACTGGGAGAGCGGCGTATTTTTCACTACCGGAGACCCCCGGGGCTTGGCGAAAGTGCTCTTCATTGTGATCTCCGAGAAACACGAGCGGCCGCTCATCATCGATTGAGCGCCTGAGGGGAGGCTCGAGGGGAAAAATATGGCGAGCAGCTCACCCAGGGTGTGCTACTCCATCGTGCGTGGCGCAACCATCGAGGTTCACTGTAAATGGCACTTCGTGAATGGTAGCGTCACCCATCTTATTGGTCGTACGGAGAGGAGGCAAGAGCCAACACCAGACACTGAGTCCGCGAGCTAACAACCTCCGGTGTCGTTAGCTTGCGTCAACATGGTGATTTTAATTCAGTTTGTATTGCAGGCAGGCAAAAATAACATCGTCATCCATAGCGCCATAGCTTTTGTGTTGAGACCTCGTACACTGACACTGTGCTCTGTATTCCCAGATCTTTCTGAACTGTCGGCCAACGAAGAGGAGATGCAAAAGTTTGCCTCGCTGAAGCCGGGCGCGGTGGGCACGGACTCGCACTGCCCCGGCCGCTGCTCCTGTGCCATTTTGTAGCCGAGGGTGCTGGACGCGGGCCGTTCAATGCTTCTTACTCAGTGTTTTTCAATGGTGTGAAATGAATCATCTAGGTGTACAATCGATTTTCTATTATAAATACATGTGGATGCTACCGTTTTCACTCCCGTGTTTTGAGCAACAATGACATAACCTCCTTTGCTGGGCGCTGAAATAACTTCTTATCGGACGAAAACAAACGTTTTACTGTATCGTAAAACATCGTATCATAATTCAATGTCACACGCCACGATACAAATTTAATTGAATAAAGTAACGGGCCCGGCAAATAAGTACTTCATAATATTTTCACATGGACATCCGCAAGCTGTTCCACATGCACTGCGCGGAGACCTGATAAATTGACGCCGTTTCGCCCCATTCGTTACCAGCGACGTGCGACTTTATCGTGCAAAATATATCACTGATTTCCGCTGTGTATTGAGATTGATGCCTAACGCCTTTATCAGCCTCAGCCGCCTTCATCAACTTTAAGGTCAAACGGTTACTAGCCGGCAGGCATTGGAACAGTTTTAGGTAGAAGTGAACAAAATCCCGTCATAATCTGCAATCCAGCGATTCGACCTCCTTTCGATGCACCTGAAGTGTTCTCACGGGTGTCATTGCAGATCAGCAACCACATCGCATCCAAAAGGCGAGGAAGCTTCCAAACGGGCCAACTTTGAGAAGAACTCCATGTTTCGGCACAAATTGCTAGCGTAGTCCCATTATGTCCATTATGTCATCATGGTCTGTTTACGAAATGTCAGATTAATCCTCCGTAAGAAAAATTGCAAAATTGGTACCTAGATCCTAGCCGCTATGATCTAGAGCTATATCGGCAACGCTGCCTCGTGAATTGTGAAAATCATCTGTCAAACACATACCGACAACTGTATGGCTCTTCACAAACAAAATTGTCACTCGTCTACGAAAATATATTTGGGTTTTCAAAAACAGAATGAAATGCAGCTAAATGCATAGTCATATACATATGGATGGATACACCGATATTCAGCGGGGAGCGTAGTTCCCTCGCTCTGGAAGGAACTGGCTAGGGTGATACTGGTACGATACGAATCGGAAGCGCCGCGTGGTTGGTAAGAAGTAAGAACCACAGGAGCCATCACAGTCCACATATGGTGCTAGGAAACCACACATATTGCACTGAAACAATTATCGAACTCATCCAGTGAACGCTCATGTTGCCTAGTGTTCATGATCTGGTGCTTATCATGAGCAGATGATAGACATAAGGTGTGGAAAATAATGGTGTAGAGAAAATCAACTCTAAAACTTATCACTGCGCTATGAGCGGTGTGCGTTGACATTTCATAGGTATCACGATACTCTTCTACCTACCTAAAATAAGACACATTTCTCGTCCAATGTCGAGCTGGACAGATAACACGCAGTTCCTGATATCGTCAATCGTCATGTCAGATCTATAATAGCATTTCGCATCATTCTATGCCTGGGCAGCCAATCTGGCACCACAGAAGACGGGCTTTACTTTCAGTACACGTAAAACCGCGCACTGTAGATAGTATCTCAACATCACATGATCCACAGCTCCGATCACTGAATCGACGAGCTGGGGCGGGCGCCGAGTCTCCAGTGAGCCGTAGCGGCCACGGTGGCTCAAACAGATCCCTCACAGACCGGTTACGGTCACAGTGCTCCACCAGTGAGTCGTGTGGCGCCCGCAGTGGCTCCCTCAGTTCCGTCCGGACCGGCACAGCATTCCTTACAGAGTATCCGGTCACAGTGCCTCCCTCAACTCCGTCACAGAGCTGGGACAGCCTTATTGCCCCGCGCGACTTCCCTATTGAGCCGGTCCAGCCACAGTGGCGCCCTCAGCTCCACCGGTGAGCAGGGACAGTCGCCACCTCCATCCCGACACGTAGGTGTCGCGGCCGCGGCTTCTGACGCCAGGAGTGCCCCTGTCAAGCGCAGGCGGCTCTGCGACCTACTGTTCGTGGCGGCGGGCACGGATCGCACGTCTACCGAGAGTAGAGCCGACCGGCGGCTCTGAAACTCCCGCGGCTGCTCCCGATGCCGGGCGCGGTTCCCATCATTGTCGAGTGACGGCGCTGCGACCTACTGTTCGTGATGGCGGCGTGTGGGCCGCACGTCTGTCGACCGGCGGCTCTGCGACATACAGCCCCCGATACCGGGCGCGGATAGCATACCTGTCGATTGCACAGGAATAGCATGACCTACTGTTCGTGGTGCCGGCGCGCCAGCTCCTTGATCTGCTCGTAAGTGAGCCACATGCAGATGTTCCAGCTGACCAGGCGGCAGAACGACGGCAGGAACCTGGCGGCGGGGCGGGCTCCGGTCAGCGGCGCCGCACCGGGAGGGACAGCAGCTCGTGGAAATGCTAACACACGGAGTGTGCTGATCGCTCCGATACTATTCAGCACATCAGTAGCTTGCTAAGGGAACGGCATTGACATTGAATTTCGACCCAAAATAAATTAGTATGGTTCAAAGCATTTGTCTGCTGCGTATACCTACAACGTTTCCCTATCGAAAAATAAAAGGACAATCGAGCAAGCAAACCTGGAACATTCGTCTAGTCCTCAGTACTGACCCCTTGTAAAAGGCTCCGGGTCCCTCTTGCATGAACATGCGCACGGCGGCGTCCACGGCGCCCCTGTACTCGCCCGGCTGGGCGTTCATGTAGCGCGTCTTAATCACGTCCACCGGCGAGGCCACCACCGTGGCGCACAGACCTGTAAAAGTGAGAAACCACTGGTCAGAAACAGTTCTGAAAACGGCGACCCAACATATCACCGTGACACGCAGAATCTGTGAGGAAAGGATGCCAGCGAGACCGAGAGCCAACCACGGTGACTCAACAGAAAACAGAGAGCCTCGCAACGCCGGTACGTGATTGCGATTGGAATCAGCAGAGGGAGAGCGGCGTTGCCCGGGAGTCCCCAAGGGCTCACACATTGATAGGTGTGTGATTGATAGGGCACCCTAAGCCTTAATCCCCGAGAAATGTTTGAAACAGTGAAGCGATAGTGAACTATTAGGAACAGCTAGTCACATACGGAGGCGATCTCAGAGTAGCTTAGAGAGGGTTAGAGCTTTACCTGCCACGGCGGCGGCGCTGAAGTGCAGCGGGATGCCGTTCTGCAGCAGGTGGTAGTACAGCAGCGTGTCCTTGGTCACGTCGTAACACACCGTCTCTGCCACGTTCACGATCGCGTTACGCATCACGTTCGGCGTGAACCCTGTGAACAAGGGAGGCAGGGTTAGACGGGCGTCACTGGAGAGAAACAAAATGGCGGCGGGAGTCTGTCATATGCAAAATTTATAGCATGACCATCTATTTGGAAATGTAGTCGTAGAGCCTTATGGACTGCTGCGGCGAGCCAAATATTCCAACCATTCTCTGGCAGCCGGACGATCCCGTTGATGCACTGCGTAGTTGTTTACCGACTGCTGCGTAGTTGCTCGACTAAATTGATACACTCGAGCTACACTGAACCTCGCCCCAGTAGAACGCATCCCTCTCACATGTTCTCACCCATACGTTGATCGTCGGGGTGGACAAATCAGCCACCGAGAGCCCCCAGACAGAGCAGTGTCAGCGATTCCGCCACCCCTGACCTTGACTGAGGTGCGCGTATGACCCCGCGACCGTGCCAGACGCCCCCCCCCCCCCCTCCGCGTCACCGAGTGCGTTGCCAGGTGAACGGGCACGGTCGGTGTGACTGCCAAACGAACGGGCACCGGGCCAGGGCCCTCGCTCCCAGCCGAACGACCTGTCACTAATTAGCTGACAAAGCCTGCCAAACGTCCCTCGTCTAGCATGGTAACCCGTGTCGAAGTCGGTTGGTGCTTCAGCTTGTGCTGACCCTAGCACTTTTGAGGGGGGAGGGGTTAGCTGGACCACCTCCGGATTTTTCTGAATAACTCGTGAAAAAGCGGCTGATCGCAACATCAGATACCGCAACATGATAAGACACCTTTGAGATAAACAATTTCACACATACCCTGAAAACTTCATGACCCTTACAGAGGTGACATTTGATCTATGACCTATTTCCCGTCATGTCAGGCCCGTTGGCGTATGTCGGCGAATCGACGTGTCTTGGGTCGCGTTCTTTGTACAGGTCTCGCGGGTTTTAGCGGTAGGTTTTGCACCTAGAAAATTTAGTGTACCTCAGGCTATATCTTCGTCGTCTTAAACTTTTAAGTGTTGAAGATGCGATCGACTTGTTGGGTAACAAGCCGGCCATGATCGTGTAAAATGTCTTCATCGTAGATCGATTAGTTTCTGAGATATAACCGGAAATGTAAAAGTGCAAAACCTACCGCTTAATCTCGCGAGACCTGTACAATCACCGCCCTTCTCATCAACTGACCTTTCCAGAGGCCCTTGGTTCCCTCTGTTTTGAAGATTGTTCGGTAGGCTTGCAACGAGCTCTTGTATCGCGGAGGGCCCTTGGACTGGCTCTGGGCTTGCATCCTGACCTGAAAAGACAATTATTATCACTTGGGCGCGCCGTTGACGCTTCAACAATCATTACAAACCTCGTCGAAAACTTCGCAATGAGATCTTTCCTCAACGAATCAGTACGCAAGTATGCATGTTTGATAATTTATTATCTAAGTTTTGTTTTGCAATTCAGCGGCAGACGTCATCCTCGTAAGAAAAAGAAAGTAGTTTTTGTTCGACATATGCCATGACCCCCGGGTCAGCCGGTACGCCCTCACATACCTTGACGACGTCGGTGGGTTGCGCCACCATGACTGCCAGCGCTCCGGTAGTCATGCCGGCCATCACGCGCGTGGGGATGTTGACGTAGTTCTGGCTGGGACCTGCCAAACGGCGTCACACGTCACTGGAGCAGCCCGCGGGGTGTCGGGTGCTGGCACAAAGGGACGGTGCCTACGCAGCGGCCGAGGACAGGGTGGAGGCGGAGAGGACGGGGGGAGGCGGCTGTGGCAGAGAGACGGGTGCTCATTCTGTCTGAGATGAGCACGAAAACAGAATACGTGAATACGAATAGGTACGGGAAACAGAACGGCGAACTTCCAAAGCCAGAATCCCAGTGTACAATAGAGATGAAATCGAACACCATTAGCGTCCGATATGCGTATCTACACAGCACGCTCCTACATTTTTATTTTATGAGCTCACACACTTACTTCCGATGAAGGAGTGGTAGAACTCCTTGAATGTGTCGTACATGCCGAGTTTGATAGCCGAGAAGCACATTTGTCGCTGCAGTCCGGGCGCCAGACCTTTGTACAGCCCCCTGCGGCCAACAGCGCACGTCGTCAGTGGACCGTCCCAGTGGAGCTAACACGAACACATACGTAATACGAATACCCGGAACACCGTGACTCAGCAGTCACAAACACAGCACCCACAGAGAGCGCCCGCCGACTCACCTGGGTCCCTCCTCCGTGGCGATCGTTTTGATGGTCCCCAGCATGCCCTGGTATTTGGGCGGCGCGGCGCTCGATATCACGGCCTCCTCGTAGAACAGACTGACCCGCAGCAGGAAGCCAGACGTTTCGCCTTGCACCTGGAACGTGACAATAGGGACGGGTCACGAACGAGGCACGAGCTATTAATCCGCGAGACGGATAAAAGACTAATATAAATCGTTGAGAGATCACGGACATTTGATTATGAAATACCCGTTCAATTATTATAATCAGCATATTTTTTTTTTTAAATTTAGTCCGAATGGTTGAATGGGTGGATTTGAGGAATCAGAGCCCGCACTAAGCATAGCTTGTTGTGCTGACCCTGACTCCACCACCCGATCGCGCAATTCCAGTTGTATGGCAGAATTTTGTCCGAACGTTTCACGTGCCCTCACGACTGGACACGGCCCCCTCCGCTCACTCACGTTACCTGGCTTCTGTGCGGCCCCTGCCACAGACACGCACGCCATTACACGTAGGAGCTAAATGTGGCCGCCCGCACCGGGGCTTGAACCGGGCTCTCACCACCGGCTAAGCGTCGAATTCCGGCGCTTCAATCCACTCGGCCACGGAGGGGGATAGATAACAGTAGAACTGTTATCTACTGTTATCTATGTAACCAGTTAATAGAAATCCAATAAGCATTTCCGCAAACACATCTTTACGCATTTACTTGATGTGATATTTAGTGAAAACCTTTTGCTAATGCACTGTGCAATGGTTCACGAGACAAAGATGGACAACGAGGCCAAATAAGCTGAATCATGTTAGAGTGAAATCAACAGTGAAGAAGTCAATCGGCCAAAGCACGACAACAAATTCCTGCACATTCTGTATTGGAAGTTATGTGCTTGAGAAGTCGTACCCAACTACACAAAAGTTATACGCACTTCAACTACGAACTCATCGGCCTTAAGAGGAAGACGTTATAAGTTCAACAATGGCATCACGGCCACAGGGTGTCCAGGCAGAAACGACCAATCGAATTGATCGCGACTGGTGGGATTCAGATAGCGTGGTGCCCAGTGCCTGTGCCGCACCTCTGCACTTTACGACCGTATTGAAGCCTGGCCCTCATAGCATAGCCTCATAGACCTCACAGCCTCGCCGCAGACCACGGTTTATGTTCCTAACATCCGTCGGCGGGCGCCGGTCTGCCCGGAATGGGGTCGCGGACCGGCGCAGAACGTTGCTGCCTCCGCCGCCGCTCTCTGTTGGCGTGTGCCCCGGAGCGGTGCGCAAACACGGATTACGTGCGGGCCCGCTGGTCTCTCCACCAGACCCCGGCCGGGTGCGGTCACACCAAGGTCGCCGCCAGGACACCGCGAGGTCACACGCACCACCCCGGCTGTTTTGGGTGCCGCCTTCTCGGAGCGGACCGGGCGAACGTTTCCTGTCCTGGCGCCACCAGTTCAGATAAATATTGTCCGGTCACTGTGACAAAATAGTCTCCCTCTGTTTAGAGTGCTTGCCACTGCGACTTTGACGGCAGAGAGCTCAAACCGTAGCCACTGGGCCGGACGCCGAGCCGGCCAATGATATGCAAATTAGCGCAGGGTAGTGATGCAAACTCTAACCATACCAAGATGTTGACAGGCGACGTACAGGTCGGGTTGGCGTAGCACTGCCCGAGCGTAGGCTCATCAGACTAACGCAGAGCGCATGTAGCATTAGTTTCAAGGTGCCAAGGTCATCTGCTTAAGAGCATTGGCGCCGATGATGCCAGTTGCCGAATCTATCTGCTGCGTGAACGGTCATCCCCATTTTCTCCTGCATGTGGGTTGAATATGAAAATCCAGCATTGAGCAGGGTATGTCGCGCGGGGCCTTGACGGTGAGCACCTATAGTGCTGCTCTGCGAAAACTTCAGTAGTAGAGATGCCCTTTTTTTGAACCCGCAAACCCGCTTTCTGCGGGTTTTCAAAACCCGCAGGGTTTTTGGCGGGTTCGAGAAGCAAAACTTGTCGTGTGGCGGGTATTTGGCGGTCAGACTTTAGAACCTATAATTTTCTTTTTTTTAGATGCAAAACACAATGCCAAGTGCATTTGCTCAGGTTAACAATACAATATTCATCAAAACAACTTTTAAAACAACCAAATATAAAAATATATCAAGGAAGCACATTTCAAATGCAAAACTGAAAACAACCAGCAATAGCATCCACAGTCTAGCAATGACCAAACCAGGGTACAAACAACAAACTGCAAAGCATAAATAAATGCTGATGAAAGCATTACATAAAACATAAAAGAACCTGAAAGCAAACTTATAGGAAGCTGAACTGAAGTCTATGTGCAGTGTGCACTAGATATACATTATGGAAGAACCCAGACTAAAATGAGATGTTGATGTTGAAAATCAGAGCAAATGCCACATGTTACTTAATTTGCGTCTGGTCGGCATAAAAAAGAGCTAAACAAAATTTGATGCAAATTCATTGATTACCTATCCTACTCTATGTTCTGTCTGGTTCTGTCCCATCCTATATTACGAAAATAACACACCAATTACCTGCAATTACCCTTACAAAAAATCAAAATATTGACTGGCATGCGGCCCAAACATAACGCAATACAATACTGGCGCACTTTCGACATTCTGACAAGGATTGGCATTTGACTGCGTCAATTTTGGTCTCTGAGGCGAAGGAAAGCTGTCATTGATGACGCAATAATAATTTCACAATCAATTTTTCTGTCTTGGTTTTTGAATACCTCAAAATAGCAGTTATACATGTTACAAAACCACGTAGCTGGTCGCATTTATTTCTTTTGTCTTTGACTCTTTTTACGTCCTTATCATTTGTATGCCGATTGCCGAGAGAGGACCGGCCGGAGAGCATTACCAAGACCAACTATAAAATCAGTGGCGCAGCCAGGATTTCGTTTCGGGGGGGGGGGGTCATCGCTTCCAAAGCGGGCCCCCTAGTGTGCGGGCCCCCACCCATTTTTCAGAATCTCTCCATATTTCATACGCATTCTGCTGGGCGGGCCCCCTTTACCTGCACGATAACCCTGAGCGAGTTTGAATAAGAAAATTTGCATAGAACAGTAGCTCGGTAATCACCCGGTCTTCACTTTTTACGCAAATTGACCACGACAGAAATATGTTACTATGACGTATGACTTCGTATCTTTCGAGTCCGATATGAGCCCCAATTCCGCAATATGCATAGCATATTATATGCAATCGGAACTGTTGCCTGCTTCTGTCGCACAAGATTTAAAAGTAGTCCCATGTGCCTGTCGTCATCTATTGGCTGCTGTAGTAGATTGTGCTTTTATTCTTCTTCATTACGTGAATTCGCTCGTAAGAAGTTTTAACCCTCGCCGGCACAGGGGGGAGGGGTTGATGCAGCCCCCTAAGGTTTTTTTTTCGCGAAGAACTCGCGTAAAAAAGCGGCTGATCGCGACGTAACTTCCATAGTGCGCTGAAATTCGCGCAACTTATAGAACAAGGATGGGTAACGTGCCTGTGAAGAGTCACAGCTCGATCGGGCCGGTGGTGAGCACATGGCGCGTGCTCAAAAAGTGCAAATTCGCGTCATAGACTTTACATGCATAAATCGGCTTGCAAAAATGGGCGACAATGGCTCAACTTGCCCGACACGGGTCCGGTCCCCGTGCAGTATCTCGGTAACCGTGGGTCCGATCGGCACGAGGAACACAGTATCGTGCATGAGAATCGAACGGGCTATCGAATGGTGTGCGGTGCAGGGATGGCACGCGCCACGTGCACCCGTGAGGGCACTTATGCTTGAAAAATTGACGTTTTGGACGGATTTTGGACTTAATGCTATTTTTGGGTGACTGTCAGACGGAGCGGGTTCAAACAACGCTTGTTGGCAAGAGAAATGTACCTACCGCCTCTCATGGGAAAATTGTGAAAAGCTAATTGATCAAAAACAAGGTGGAACAAATTGCTGGAGAAAATAGCATTTGCTTATGACTTACTTAATTACAGGGGTTTTGCTACATAACCTGGTATGTTTGACAATTGAAATGGGCATAGATTGGAAGAGCATTCAATTGTGACCAAGGTCCAATCATCGCTTTTGCATGACGAGCAACAATATTCTTAAGAATATAAATGTTTCAAACCTCTACATAGTAATTCATCGATGGCTTTCACTCTTCAATAACCTACGCCAACCTATGTCACTTGGCATGTTCTATAGTAGAACGCATGGTTATTATCAGACACGAGCACCTCGATGCGATGGATATTTTTCCCAAAACCAAAATGCTTAGCCGTCAAAAGGCAATCGACCGTAATGGATACATAACCCACAGACACAAGACCAACCAAACGCCCACCGATCGAAAATACCCCTTATTCGCGTTGCGAAGCAAGCGGGTCACCCTAGCGGGCCCCATTCACCCGGGGGCTCGGGCCCTATCCACATGGGGGACCAAGCCCTATCCATACGGGGGCCCGGGCCACGTTCACCTGGGCTCCGGGCCTCGTCCACCCGGGGCTCCGGGGCCCGCCCACCAGGGGGCCCGGGCCCCATCCAGCCGGGGGCCCGGGCCCCGTCCACCCGGGGCCTGGGGTCCGTACTCCCGGGGGCCCGGACCCATCCATCGGGGGCCCTGGCCCCATCTACCCGGGGGGCCGTGCCCCATCCACCTAAGGGGCCCGGGCCCGTTCTCCCGGGGCCCGGGCCCCATCCACCCGGGGGCCTGTGCCCTATCCACCCAGGGGCCCGTGCCCTATCCACCCAGGGGGCCCGGGCCCGTTCTCCCGGGGCCCGGGCCCCATCCAACCGGGGGTCCGGCCCCGTCCACCCGGGGCTCAGGGCCGTTCTCCCGGGGGCCCGGGCCCCATCCAGCCGGGGGCCCGGGCCCCCTCCACCCAGGGGGCCCGGGCCCGCTCTCCCGGAGCCTCGGGCCCCATCCACCCGAGGGGCCTGGACCCGTTCTCGCGGGACCCGGGGGTCCGGGCCCCGTCCACCCGGGGCCCGTTCTCCCGGTGGCTCGGATCCATCCACCGGGGCCCCATCCGCCGGGGGGCCCGGGCCCTATCCACCCGGGGGCCCGGACCCATCTACAGGGGGCCCGGGTCCCATCCACCCAGGGGGCCGGGCCCGTTCTCCTGGGGGCCCGGGCCCTGTCCACCTGGGGCCCCAGGCCGACCCCTCACCCGAGGTGTCGCAGTGGGCATTTCTCGAAGCGGGCTCGTCCGATTAGATTAGGACCTCTCTCTCTCCTCTCTCTCTCTCTCTCTCTCTCTCTCTCTCTCTCTCTCTCTCTCTCTCCCTCTCTCTCTCTCTCTCTCTCTCTCTCTCTCTCTCTCTCTCTCTCTCTCTCTCTCTCTCTCTCTCTCACTCTCTCTCTCGAGCGGGCCCCTGACAGAAATTTCGGGGGGGTCAGCTGACCCTCTGACCCCCCCTGGCTGCGCCACTGTATAAAATTATTACATTTTATTTAGTATTTACTGTCCCTTTATTTCCTAACCGGTGATTAACCTCTGCATTGTAAAACTTTAGCTGTTGTGTAAAATAATATTATCAGAATGGCACATTAATATGCATTATACAACGGTGTTTTCGCAACAAGTTCGCACTAACTACGGCTGCAATAATTTAGTCGCTGTAACATTCCTTGCAATCAGCTGTTGCTGACGCTTCTGACGCATGTTTCCAAAAATGCGTGGTTCATTGGTTAGTTGGTTTTTGCTGGGCTTTTGCATCATTTGTTTTATGTGTAAATCACGGAACTCTATAATGTGGAATGCGCATCGGCCGCCAAATGGTGTCCAACGGTGCCGCCATGTTGCGCAGACCAGAAAGCGGCCGCCGCCTGTGCTGGAGAATAGGGAATTCGGGACCTCGATTTACGTTTGCGGTCGCTGCATCCGTTACGCTCAAGCTATGTGGACACGGAACCCGGCATCTTACGCAGAATTGAGTGGAGAACAAGATGAAATCCTAAAAAATCATCAGATACAAGGAACTTATACGTTAAACCCTTATAAGTCAGTGGGGAAATATGAAAATTGCTATTTTGGCGTCGAGAATGATCTGAAACTATCTCAAGCATATAAAATCATGATTTCATGCACTCTTTGCAAGGTTCTATGCTTCATATTTGCATTGTTGCCCTTGCGTGACGTCATTTGTGACGTCACAAGGGTCACAATTGTTCTTCAATAACTCCCGATCAAATTGAGCTAGCGAGTCGGGAAAGCCACCAATGGACTCAGGAAGATCTGCCGAATCGAATGATATGCGACATGACCTCTTTCGACCAACTTCGTGACCTGGGGGTGCTGACCTGAGCTTGACCTGAGGTCAGAACCCTAAGTTGACCTGACCCGAACAAAAAGTATATCACTCGATGCGTCTGAGCTAGCTGAACACGATGATGCCGAAATCGCGGCTCTACGGCCATTTTTGGCGAAGTTATTTACCAAAAACCGATCCCGTGCCTTAGATCACTTGACCTGACCTCAGAGGTCACCGGTTGACCTGAGACCCTTACAGCGGGTTTCTACCAGTCACTCTGCATTATACTTTGCCGCATACGACCACTTTACCGCTTAATTCTAGTTTAATTAGCGGCGCATTAGCGAGGTGGGTTCATCAACCCCCTCGGCCGGGGCAAATGTAGGTCCGGCGAGTGAATTTGAGGAATTCTGAAGATACGATCGTGTTCCCCACTCAATTCTGCGTAAGATGCCGGGTTCCGTATCTACGTAACTTGAACGTAACGGATACGGCGGCCGCAAACGTAAATCGAGGTCCCGAATTCCCTATTCCTCAACACAGGCGGCAGCCGGTTTCTGGTCTGCGCAATATGGCCGCCACCGTTAGACACTACGGCCAATAGGGTTGAAGCGGCGGTGCTCCCCTGTGGTGTAAATCGACTGGATACGCATTATTCACCGTGTCACTATTTATTTTTAACTGGAAATCGCATATCTTTTTATATCAACATTCATTTTGATAACAGTATCATTCCAGAAGCCTAACATTGAGAGGAACCAGAGTGACATTTTGATCCTCAGCCAATGCTGAAGGGTAAGGTGAGAGAAAGATTTTACTGAATTCTTTTCAGAAAGGAATTTCAAATGTATTGATGCGTTATTCGTTTTCCATTGTCCAGTGTGCACTTCCTGAGGACTTAGCATAGCAATTTCAAGCACTGGCGGTCGCAGCCGCTAGCAAAAGGGGGGGCCAAAGTCACACTCGCGGGACATAACATTTATACGTCACCGGAAGGGGGGGGGGTGATCGGCCAATTTTTTACGTCCACGAGGTGCCGCGCAGTTGGCATTACTTATGCTTCATCCATCTGATTCTTGCGTGAAATTTTTAAGCTCAATTTAAGGCAAAATCACCAGTTCCATTTCCCGTCCCACGGTGCTTCCACCGGTCGGCCCACTGCACCATGACGACGGATCGGTGTAGCATAGGTATACTGGAAGGTCAGGCACGCGGATTCATGACCAGTTACCACTATAAAACAATTCGGAAAAGTACAGATACCTCTTGCTTTGAACAGGCATGTGAAACCCAGAGAGCATTTTCAGACTATGACATTTACCCATATAGGTAATATACCTAGCTGTGTGGCGGCGGGAGAGAGTAGGTACACCGACCTCTGGAGACCCCCCACAGGTTCCGAGCTTTTAAAATTGGCATCTGAGGGCCGCGCGCGACTCCTGCGGGGCTTCGCAGCGGCTCTATTGGGGCTCACTCAACCTGCCTAGTCTTACTGCTAAAAAGACTGGCCCTGAGCCCTAAGGACTTCATCAGTCTCTGCCAGCCCCAGGACCCACACCGGCTCATGGGGTCCCGATGTCGAAATATGAGGGAATCTGCGCCGGACCATCAGGACGCAAAGTAATCTCGATCAGGACCAACGTAAGGCTGTGCCGGAGACTGCGTGAGCCCTCTGATCTTCAGAAACCCACCCATGTATGTTTTCACGTAGAGGCCAGTTTAGGGCCCTCAGAGACCAGTACAGGGCCTGCAAACTACAAAGGCCAGTAGTTTGAGACAATCAGTGACCGAGTTGGGCTCTCAGAGGCTAATGTGGGTTATTACAGGCCAACATGGGCCCTCAGAGGTCAGCGTGGGGCCCTAAAAGACCGGCATGAGCCGTCGTTGGACCCCAGAGGCCAGCAGAGGGCCCTCAAAGGCCAAGATGGGCCCTCCTCAAATGCCAATGCAGGCCCTTAGAGGCCGGCATCGGGTCTTCAGCAGCCAGTGCGGGGCCCTCATTGGCACCTTAAGGTTCGTCTTGGGACACCACAGACAGAAATAAGGCCACCAGAGACCGGTGTGAGACCCTCAGACGCCGGTTGGGACCCCTGAGGCCGGTTAGGGGCCCTCATAGGCCAGATGTGGGGTCTCAGAGGTTGATGTAGGCTCTTAGCGGTCAACGTGGGCACTTGACCGCCACTGAAGTTCCCTCAGAGGTCAGTGTAGGACGCTCAAAGACCGGTGTGGGAGCTATATTAATTATTAATAGCTGGGCGTGGGTTTTTTGAGCCTCGTGACGATCGAATAATTGCCAGGGCCCCATACACCTATATGGGGGCCCATTGGTTGTTTGAGGGGGGGGGGGGGGCAAATGATATGATGGCCCCCTTTATTGACCTTTGGGGGGGGGGGCATGGCCCTGATGCCCCCCCCCCCCCCCGCGACCGCCACTGTGTACACATTACACACATGCCTCTGAGATTACATACTAGCTCATGCAAACTCTATGCAGGCCCCGGAGTTCCCACGCTAATCCTTAAGAAACCAAGCCGGCATGCGGCGTCACCACCGGGCTTCTGAGGTGCACAGCACCAACCCATGAGGTCTTACTTTATGTCTTAGAGCCAATCTCCTTTAGCAGGGCCCACCCACCACTGCCGAAGAGGGTCTCATGCCAGCCATTGCTGGGCCTACGAGAGCCTCAAGTAAACCCACGCTGATATTCCATATAAGATCCGGCCATACTCGTGAGCCGGTGCCAGCGACGCTGACCACCAAATTGACAGAATGCGAAACTGAGCCCACTCATGAGTGAAATTTACGTCCTTTGATGGCGCAAGAAAGAAAATGAAACATACGAAAAGCTTTTCTAGGACTTTTGTTCGATCTGAAAGGTGGGGCCAAAAGATAGTATGGCCCCACCTTTCAGCACCAAAGGGGGGGCCATGGCCCCCGTGGCCCCCCCCCTGGGACCGCCAGTGATTTCAAGTCCTTACTATTTGTTTGGCTGTCTTTTTCTGCACAACAATGAAGCAAGTAAGGTTTATATAGCTCTAGCATTGACCCAGCTGTATTTTTTCCTTGCAAAGGCAGGTTTTTAAAATTGCGGGTTTTTTGCGGGTTCGGCTCAGCCAAAATCAGCTTGCGGGTAGTTGTGGTTGGGCAAGGGGTAGCTGCGGGGCGGGGCGGGTAATGAAATTGCAAACTTGGTGCATCTCTATTCAGTAGTGATGCACAAAATTAGCCCGTCGAGCAGCAGAGGAAGAATTATGTGAAATGCAACGGACATGTCACCATAGCCCTGGCGTGTTACAGACAAAACAAAAACAGATCGCGCCCTTCTCTTCAATGTAACTGATCGTCTGATCTCGCACTGTGACCTAAGGTTCGTGGTCCTATCGGACAGGCCCGACTTTCATCGGGAAGCCACTGACTTGCAGTCTGACTTTGGCCGTGTCCGCACTGACCTACAGTCTGTGTCCCCACTAACCTGGAGTCTGTGCCCCCAGTCTCACTGACCTGCAGTCTGTGTCCCCAGTCTCACTGACCTGCGGTCTGTGTCCGCAGTCTCACTGACCTGCGGTCTGTGTCCCCACTGACCTGCAGTCTGTGCCCCCACTGACCTGCAGTCTGTGTCCCTAGTCCCCACTGACCTACAGTCTGTGTCCCCACTGACCTGCAGTCTGTGTCCCCACTGACCTGCAGTCTGTGTCCCCACTGACCTGCAGTCTGTGTCCCCAGTCTCACTGACCTGCAGTCTGACTTTGGCCGTGTCCAGCGGGAACGTCATGGCGTCTGCGATGCAGGCCGACGTGCCGGCCACCAGCAGTCGCTCCACCATGCTGTTGTGGGCGTGCGGCACGCCCGTGCGCGGGGTGCCCTGCTGAGCCATGGCTGCTGTGAAGGTAGGTACTGCTGCTCCTGCTGCTGACGCTACAGTCCACCAAAGACTGGGCTGCTACCTGAAAGGGACGACACATGATTGAACGCCGGCCCCGTGGACACGTATTACTTTGTTTTAGCAGAATACGCGGTGTTCCAAAGACAGGCGACAAAGGAACGATGGAACGATGGAAAGGAAAGGAACGATGAAAACTGCCTCACAGTGGGAACAATAAAACGAATATAGAAAATATATAATCAATAAGTAAGTATACGGGCAACACGTAAAAGAAATGCTTTCTTCGAGCAAAGAGAGGGATCAACTGGAGACTGGATACACAAAACATTAGCCCACTATCGCAGCAGGTGTAGGTATACCTAAGGGTCACTCGGCCCGCCCCTCAGTCCGTCGGTCGATCGTCCGCCACCATCACCCACACCGTGTTACTCCGCCGCCACCCGGCGCGCCACTGCCGCCGCCGCCGCGCCGCGCCTCGTCTCCGGCCGGGCAACAGCGGCGGCCCCGGCCCCCCTCTATCGACCTGGCCCACCGTACCCCGGCGCTCCGCCACAGCTCCGGCAGGACGGCCGTCAGGGTCGGGGTCGGTGGGTTAGACTAAGGCAATGAATGTGTGCTGTGTAGATGGTGGTTCGAGGAACCGCCGTTATTTGTTGCTGGGGAGATGCTGACTGATGGGGGACACGGTGCTATATGAGGAGGTAGAGCGGCAGCTTTGGGAACCAGGATATGGCGTCATACGGCGGACCGAATCTCCGACAGCAGGCTGAGTCAGCAGTTTCCTTGCTACTCCCAGTTGTATCTGCCCCGGTATCGCACTGGGCAATGTGCATCCGATCTGAGCGCCACGCAATGGCAAAAGAACCGTCGCCTGCAGACTGCAGTAAGCAAGGTTATTTGTGCAAGCAGAGCTTAGCTTCAAACCGGATAATGCCAGAAACAATGGTGAAGCCAGGGTTAGGAGTCTGTTTACCACACTCAGCCTACCGAATGTCCCTAAATGAAGCACAATCACATAGCCGTATTGATATTTTCGTCGTCGTACCGCCTTGTTTACGCTACTTCACGCCCTCATTTCCAGACCTCATCGATACGACGCATCTCACCCGGGTGCGAGGCCGCTCGGTCCGAAGTCCAGTCCAAACCACCTCACTTCCACGTCCCATCCTTACGGTTCCCGCCTGCCCTGGCTCCAACCAGTCCACCCGGGGACGGACTTTGTTCGCCACGGTCCCGCCGTGCGCCGGTCGCTGCCGCTCTGCGAGCTGTCATGGCTGTGTCTGCTGCCAGTCCCCGGCCCGGCCCAGCTCCTGACGTGCCCCGCTGGACTCGGAGAACGGGGGCACATGACCCGTCACCACCCTCCCCGGGTGGGGCGACCCATGGCCGTCCAGGCGGTGACAGATAAATACAGCCCGCGGTATTATAACAGGCCATGACGCCATATCACGCCACGATGGGCGGCGCCAGATGGCCCAGGGGTATATGGACTATGGCTCTTGACTGACTGGTACGGGGGGGGGGGAGGGGCAGAGCTCTGACTGACCGTCGTAGAGGGTATGGACTATGGCTCTGATTGAGCTGGAAGGACTGTCCGTGAAAATTAAAATGTTTTCCCAACATAAACAAGCATTACCAATAGGAGGTGCGGTGAACAGTTGGGGCCCGGTGACGGTGGACAGCCGCAGAGGTCAGGGGACGGGCGTTGATGTGTCGCGATGAGCGGCTCGATACCGGTCATACATGTTCAGGAGGCAGCACCGGCCAGGGTCACACCGGGAGGACGACGCGCGCGGAGGTCACCGTCGGATTCAACCGGTCCTGCGACCGGTCATCGGCTAAAAACAAATACCCTGAACTTTCTGAACTGCATGCTGTCGACCCCAAGGCGCGGTAACTGGTGATTTTATTCGATACAAAAAAGTCACAAAATAATGCATTTTGAGGGGTTGGAAAATGTAGAATGAGTAGATAGATTTGATATCTACCTACCTATTCCCATCATCTATCACAAACAGAGAAAACCGAACCTTGTTGTCACTAGTTCAGTTGTCCCTGGTTCAGTTGTCATGGACTTCTCGTCTTTTACAGTCGCGTTGGAGCGTGGTGCATCTCATTAGAGCCTAGAACGTGGCACTGTGGCAGTCACGGTACGTCACGCTACGGGGCAGACCAGTATTTTGTCCAATATCAATTCTCATTGATCGGTGCGAGTATGGCTATGTCTGGTTGATGGAAGGTAGGCATGTAACGTTTATCAGGAAAACAAAAGTAAACCTCAATGCAAGCATTAGCATTTTAAATCCTGATCCAAACATGCCAGAACCTCTGTAGTGCCACTCGGTAGCAATTCCAAGCAGCTTCGTCACCCGTCAACGTCGCCGGTGCTGCCGTGTGATCATAAACTGACCCTGAAAACTGTCCTCTGGGACGCCAGCCGTCGAGCCAATTTCCTAGGAAACAGCCGTGCATTTAGCTATCAGTGACCGACACCATCCCGTGACATCAGACAAGCAGTATCGTGACCTGGAGGCACCCGACTGCCGAGAACAGTGGCGGCGGACCCACTCGGTCGGCCGGCAGTAGGCAGTGTCTGCCCGACCGGACAGAACCGGCCGGCGCCGGACCGACCGACCACCGCCGGCGGCGGGCCGGTCGGCGAGCGCTCCTCTGTTCGCACACAGGGTGCCTGCTCACCGCGGCCCCTAACGACAGCGACGTCACCGCCTCGACACACATCCATCTGGCAGCTCTGGCTGGCAACAGCACCGGCTTACCCCTACCGGCGCCGAGAGAAGCGTCCGCTTTTTGCCGACAGCTCTGAAACGCCGCGTGGTAAAGGAGTTTGTACAGTATATCTAAAAAGTATGTCCCCTGGTTTGGCTCTCCCACAGGAGGCGAATCGGTAACTTGGCTGAATCCCAGTTGCGGCACCCGGCCGCCAGGGTCGCTGCCGCGCGAGCGGCCTTGACCGCTCGCATGTCATTGGCAGTTCGGTCCCTCCCCATCTATACCGAGGTGGGGAGGGGAGAAGAGGGGAAGAGAGGGGAGGGAGCGGCATCCGCTCGGTACTTGGCGATACCTGGCTGACCCCGCGCTCCCTCGCTGACCTTTGTCCTGCCCTCAGGCGAAGCCCGACTTCCTGGCCTGTAGCGGCCGGGCGGAAAACCGAGCTCGCGGGGCGCGACTCCATTGGCCCAATCTTATAAATGGAATGCTGTCGTATTCACGGCATTAGATAATATTAATAGTGATACCAGCAGTGGATGTGGTAAAATACAGTCCAAAATAAACGAAAGCACACGATTCGTGCATAATGCGCCCTCCCATTCAAATAAGCCCGCCCACTTCGATAGATGGTGTAGTTTCTTAGGGCGTAAAAGATGCAAAACACTACCGATTTTTTTTTTAGCTCGGCCACTGGGACCGACAATATAGAATTGACTGAAATGCATGAAAACCATTTTGCATTTAGGTAATAGCCGTTTTCTGCACCCAAACTTTAGCCAATGACGTCCTGTCCATTCTAAAGCGTTTATAAGATTGGTCCCAGCACCCGATTTTATATGAGGAAGTCGTTTAAAAAGCATCTTATTTCTAACGAATTTATTATTATGGCCACTTTTACAGGACGTCTATAGAGCTTTGACTTTTACATTTCTTCCTCGTTCAGGAGAAACGTTTTAACCCTCACCGGACCTTCAGATTTTCTGAATACCGAGGGGACGTTGGGGGTTGGAAGTGAGGAAACAACCCCCTTCGCCGATTCGCCCCTAATTGAGCTAGAGCCTCACGAAAGAAACGATCGTGTGCGTCGTTACGAAATGCAGCGATTGGTCTCCGATTTAAGGACCAGGGTCAGCCGATGACTTCGGAGGTCAGGTCAAGTGGCCCAAGGCACAGGTTCGGTTTTTGGTAAATAACTTCGCTAAAAATGATCGCAGATCCGCGATTTTAGCAGCATCGTGTTTATCTAGCTCAGGCGTGTCGAATGGTATACTTTTTCTTCGGGTGAGATCAACTTAACCCTCGCCCGTATTGGTGTTTTTCCAGCCGCGAACGTATAAGGAGGGGGGGTCCGTTGGACCCCCCCTTGCCGTTTCGCCCCTGATCGAGCTAGAGCTTCGCGGAAAAAACGAGCGTGTTGCCCGTGACGAGAGGAAGCCGATGATACCTAATTTTAAGGTCCTAGGTCATTGGTTGACCTTGCAGGTCAGGTCAATGACCCCAAAGTCGGGAAAATCGGGACCTGTTAGAACGTCGTAAAATGTGGCTGCGATGGGGTTTTTCGGGGCGCTGATCACGAATATCATGTTAGTTTTGATCACAGATGATGTCTTTATGCATTAAGTCCAGGTCGGGTCAGGTCAGGTCAGGTCAACCAGTAGGGGTCCTGCCGGGTATTCCTAGTAGGTGTCAACCGCCTCTGATAGCTTCGTAACATGTTACGAAGGTGCCAAAACTACTTCGTAAACGTTCATATGGCTGCTAAATTCGAATTCAGCTCCAGAAACTGGCCTAGAAACATGTAAAACTCGAAAAAGTGAACCGAGGTCACCAAAGGTCAATGACCTGACCTGACCTTCAGGTGACCTTGACACCCACCCTAATGCATGGGGGCAACATCATATCACATGTTTGAACGCTTGAAACCACGAAAAGACTGCAAACGCGCGGCTAATGCGAGCCGACATACGCCGAATCGCGATTCCGGCCAAACATGGTCTCGGAAAGTAGGTCACAGGTCAAAGGTCACTGGGGTCAGGGTCATGAAATTTTCAGGGTAGGTGTAAAATTGATTAACGCGAGGGTACTGAAAGTTTCGTCGCGATCGGCCGCTTTTTACGCGAGTTATTCGCGAAAAACCATGGGGGCGGTCCGTTCGACCCCCCCCCCTATACGGGCGAGGGTTAACCCTCGCCCGTATAGAGGGGGGGGGGGTCGAACGGACCCCCCTCCCTCGGTTTTTCGCGAATAACTCACGTAAAAAGCGGCCGATCGCGACGAAACTTTCAGTACCCTCGCGGTTATCAATTTGACACCCACCCTGAAATTGTCATG